GTGGTGCCCAAATCAGTACGCTTGCGGGTTCTTCGTCAATTTCATACTGGTCATCCCGGCATCGGTCGCACGAAGTCTATCGCCCGCAACTACGCTAACTGGCCAAATATGGATCAGCAAATTGCAGACCTAGTCAAGAGTTGTTGCCAATGCCAGCAGGCCGCCAATAACCGTCCTAAGGTTCCTTCAGTCCTTTGACCACGACCTCGACAACCCTGGTCACGAATCCACGTCGATTTTGCGGGACCGATCAACGGAGTCACGTATCTTGTGCTGGTGGACGCCTACTCAACATGGACGAAAGTCGTCCCAATGACTTCCCTTACAACAAAGAGAACAGCACAAGCTCTGTCCCAGATTTTCAACCATTATGGGATTCCGGATACCATTGTCTCAGAAAACGAATCACAGTTCACATCCCAACAATTCAAGTAATTCTATCGACAGCATGCTATTACACACATGAATTCCCCATCCCACCATCCACAGTCAAACGGACAGGCGTAAAGGTTCGTCGACACATTAAAGCGAGCCCTGCTAAAATGCCGTGGAAAAGGAACCACGTCCGTCAAAAATCTACAGAACTTTTGTCCTTGTGTATCGTACAACATCAAACGAGGCTCTATCAAATTGACAGTCGCCATCTGAGGCACTCATGGGTCGCAAATTGCGGACAACAAATTCCGCTATGATTCCGGTACAAGGCAACACCCCGGAGTCTCCGAGTACGAAATCTACTGCTCCAGTTGAGATTAAAACTGCCGTGTACGTTCGAAACTATCGATCAAGATACGACCCATGTATCGAGGGGACGATTGCACGCCGACACGGCAAGGTCATGCTCGACGTGACAGTGGGTCACACATGTGGTCAAAGCATCGCAACCAGCTCCGATTGAGAAAAGGATCTGCAACCCCAAATCGCCAGTCCAGCGTCCCACAGGATGTGCCTTTCGACACTTACCAGTTGCTCCACCGATAACAACCCTAGTGGAAACGAACAGACATAAACTAGCAGTGGACGGGTCTTAGCCTCCAAGGCAGAGCAGTCAAAAACAACGAGATCCAACACTAGTCCAAATTGGCCCAAAGAAGAGGATGCATTACTAACTTTTCAAGGAGGAGAGGTGATGGGGACCCACGATTCCACAAGATTGGTTTCTGATCAATTTGCACTAATTCACTAACATGTGCCTTGTTAAGCTTTTGATCAAGTCAAGGTCAAACATGACTTGAATTAGTATTTACTTTTGACAACTCACTCAGCACCTCGCTGACGTGATCAAAGCTCTCTACACGAG